GTTACGAAGGGAGGAGGCCAGGGGTGGATAATGAGTCTTCAAACCAAAAACAACAAAAAAAAAAAAAGATAAAATGAGGTTGCTAGGTCTCGAAGAGCAGACCTCATTAAAAATTTTCGGAGAAAACGGGATGAAACCCGTCCCCTTGCTTTTCAGGAAACCCTTTTTTTTTTTTTTTCGTCAGCTGCCTCTTTTTCTTGTCAAATGGTTGCCACAAACGAAATCGAAAACCAAAGTGAACACGTTTTCTCCCTTTGTTTTTAAATTTTCTGTTTTGACAACGAAAAACAGAAAACGAAATTGAAAGTGAACAGGACCTTAATGTTAACTATATGGTGCATGAATGAAAAATTGATACACAAAACGTAAAATAGCCCAACGGAGTTATTGCTTCTTGGAAAAAGTAGTGGCATGGGTGTAATTCTTGATAGAAGCAAAATTTTAGCTTCAATAGTTTTTTGGTTAATAGCATTTTATACCCCTCTGTTATTGCAAGTTAACAAACATGCCCCTCTACTGTAATTTTGCACTTTCATACCCTTGTATATTATCGCAATGTAATAAACTTACCCTTTTGTTACAATTTCTGTTAGTTACAATTTCTGCTAGTGGCCTGTTAAAGGTATCCGATATGACCATATTGCCCTCTATTTATACTTATTCTATAATTATTAGAAAACTTATTATTCTTTCCCCAATCCTATCGACTACCCCCACCCATGTCGTCACCTTGCTAACCCTAATCAACAAATCCTACACCCCCGCCGCATCACAGCCCCCAATCCATCCACACCATCGTCGATTCCACAGTCTCTTTTCAATTCCTCGGTTGTCAACTCACCCCACGTCGCAGTTAAAAATAATTTTAATCGCACCCTCGATTGCGGAAGCCCTTCGAATTCCATCAATTCGTACTCAATCATCCACCACCGTCGAAAGCCCCTCCCCCACCGATAGACTCCGGCGCTCCTTGCTTCCGGCGGCCGCACCCGCATAGAGGAAACCGACGAAAAGCATTGAGTGAGACAGCAGCGGCTAGAGGGGATAGACAACAAACACCCAGTGTTCTCCATCGAACATCATCGGGTGAGACAGCAGGAGATATCTCCCTGTGAACAGAGGCCGCAAACTGAGCCGACTCCGCAGCCTCTTCTCCCTTCACCTGTGTGCTGAGCTTCCCAATCGATTTCAGTTGCTAATGGAATTGTCGATTTCACTTAGAAACCTCTTCTCCCTCCGCCTGTGCGAAGAGAAATCATCGCAGCCGTCTCACCCATTTCTGTCCACTGGAGCCTCCGGTGAGGAAAAGCCGGGTGCAGCCGCCACAAGCAGTGCGCGTTGGAGACTTGCGGTGGGTGGAGGGGCTCTCGAGTCTCGACGGTGGCGGTGGATTTGATGGCGGAGGATTGTGGAATGGGATGGTGTTTCCGAGGGCAAATGAAATGGGATTGGGGGCTGGGGGTTTCGGAAGTAGGGTGGGGTTGATATAATTTTTAATTGGGTTGTGATTAAGAAATAATAAAATTAAATTAATACTAAACGAGGGCAAATGGGTCTTTTCGTAACATATTTAATGTTGATTAACGGATAATTAAACGGAAGGGTATATTTGTTACATTTTAATATTAGAGGGGTATTTTTGTGCAAAAAATTAGTAAAGGGGCACGTTTGTTAACTTGAAATAATAGAGGGGTATAAAATGCTGAATTGCTATTCGTCGCCCTAAAATTCAAATTTTATCGCCCTAAAATGCATCAAATTGACACTTTTACCCTTCTAGCCCCATTCCTTTTGCTGCAGCAGCCACTGCATCTACTGCCGCGGACTTCCTCCGGTGCTCTGCTTCTACTGCCGGAGTTCATTTCATCCTATTCTTCACGTCACATCGGTCTGTGCATCAGCAACCAGTGGCAGTGTTCTATGTATAGAATCACGAAATGGGTTTCGAATGGCAATTGATTCGTTCTTGTCTAGAGTTCGATTCTTTTTATTCGGCTTACAAGTTCTACAATGCCTATGCCAAGAAGCAAGGTCTCGCATTAGAGTGAGCAACTTGTGGTTTAATGTCCAAGGGAAAGGAAAGGTACAAAGCCAAAGTCAGTTGCAAAGAGAAGCTTTTAAAGCCAAAGTCAGTTGCAAAAGAGGCTCAATGACAATGTTTTGGGTAATTTATTTCCGGTAATAAATTTGTTTTGAGCTTAACTACAAATAAATGAATTAAGGGCATTAGAGTAAAATTAATTTAATTAGGGCGACGAATAAGGATTTTTAGGGCGACGAATAGCAATCCCCATAAAATGCTATTAACCCATAGTTTTTTCTACGTTTCTTTGATTAAATAGTAAACTTGGTCCTTTAATTTCATAAGAGGTCAGCACTAGGATTGTCATTTCCAAGTATAATTTTTTTTTTAAGAACATACTACGTACTACAATGCAGGTATGCTCATTTGTTTGATTATTACATAGTAGAAAATTAAGGTTAAATTATATTTTTAGTGATTTTGATTATTATGTTTTAATTTTATATTAAAGAAATATATTAATTTATTTTTTATAAATTTATAATTTTTTGTGAAGCCATCCAAGAATTTTCGGCCCCCAGAATTTCAATTCCTGGCTTCGCCCCTGCCAACTCATACGTATGAGAAGTCATCCAGACTTTCCTTAAACTTAAACTTAGTTAGGAGAGTCGTAACGATTCATCCCCCTAATATCTTAAACTTATCGTGGTCGCTCTTCACCACGATTCTCAAGAGCATAACTGCTGCTCTATCTCAAAAGTCTTAAGAGCATAACTGCTGCTCTATCTCAAAAGGCAACGGACTGACGCTAGTGACTAAAAACTCTTAAAACGATTTCACCTTCTTGAAGGTGAAGTACTTCTTAAAAATAACTTGTTTCTTAAACTTTAATAATCACTCATAATTAACGTAAAGCTTTAAGGTAAATAATACACATTCACCTCAAATTATAGCTCAAACAAAGCACAAATAATCAACCATAAAGATAATCAAGCAATGGTAACCACTTCGCTAAAATACTACCATCCATTTATCACCGACCGAAATTCCAAGAAAAAGAGGCGAGCCTTACCTCCGTATTACTGCTCACCGGTTGATCGCCATTTGTAGGAATTTGCCATCACCGTCGCTACCGCAGTTTCCATCTGCTTGCTCCCCACGTGAATTTCACCCACAAGGTCCGCCAGGTCTCCCATTAAGTAATCCTTCGCATGAGCAGATCACCTCTCCTCGGCTGGCTCTCACTCTCGTCTCCCTTGTCGTACAACTAATGGGATAGTGATGGTGACGAGGAAATAGGAATGGTGATGGGTAGTCCCGGTGAGGCGCACCGAAATCCTAGTGCAAATCCCCCTTTTACGGGACGGAGAGGAGATGACAATAAGGTTGTGTCAGAACAGAAATGTGCAATCGATAATCCAAACCAGCGCGAACGAACACAAATTTAACGTGGTTCACTAACACAATGTGTGCTAGCTAATCCACGGGCAGGGGGGACAAATTTCACTAATTTGAGGAGAGTACAGGTTACAAACCAAATTGCAAACGGACAAACCAAACAAACTAACCTGACTGACCTTTCTACAAACTAGGGTGATGAAGAGTATTTATAGAACTCTTCTCTTAATCCTAAACAGAAAACCAAACACCTTTTCCCAAACATACAAGGAAAATGTCAAACAAAGTCCAAACACAAACCCAAACAAAATAGGCCCAAACACAAAACAAACCCAAATCAAATTCAAGTCATATTCTAACAATCTCCACCTTGACTTGAATTCTCTGTCAAATACCAGATGTACCAAACGCAACCAAAGTTGCCAGATGTACCAAATGCAACCAAAGTTGCCAGATGTACTCAGACGCGATACATATCGCCAGACGTAACCAAATGCGATCGAAACCGCCAAACTCAAATGCAATCAAGATTGCCAGACATATCCAAATGCGATTCATATCGCCAGACCAAACGCGATGCAAATCGCCAACTCAGATGCAATCAAAATTGTCAGACATACCAAACTTCTCCAAATCAGCTGTACCAGAATCTCTCCTGCCTCCAGATGCCCATAAGGGCGGTCAACAAATCAAAACATGCAACAAGTCCATCCCATGTTGGGACTTGCCATGCAGAACCAGCTTGGTGTTATTTCCATCCATAACAACAACATCAAATTTACTGCTAACTCCAAGCCTGGAACTCCAAATTGACTTCTCGATCTTCATACTGATAGCAGCCATTCTTACTATCAAACAAACTCCAACCAAAACTTCTCACCAAACAAGCAAGACCAAAACACAACTACCCAAAGTCAACTTCAAAGCGATTCCTCCACCGAACCAATCTGAAGAATTGAAAGCAACCTCCACAAAGCAAAACTTCTGTCCAGCGCCAAATTCTCAAAACCGCAACCAGGCTCTGATACCACTTGTCAGAACAGAAGCGTGCAATCGATAATCCAAACCAGCGCGAACGAACACAAATTTAACGTGGTTCACTAACAAAATGTGTGCTAGCTAATCCACGGGCAGGGGGGACAAATTTCACTATTTTGAGGAGAGTATAGGTTGCAAACCAAATTCCAAATGGACAAACCAAACAAACTAACCTGACTGACCTTTCTACAAACTAGGGTGATGAAGAGTATTTATAGATCTCTTCTCCTAATCCTAAACAGAAAACCAAACACCTTTCCCCAAACATACAAGGAAAATGTCAAACAAAGTCCAAACACAAACCCAAACAAAATAGGCCCAAACACTAAACAAACCCAAATCAAATTCAAGTCATATTCTAACAGGTTGAGCGGCGGTTGTTGAGAGCTAGCTGCTCTCCTTTGTTTCTTTGCGAAAGGGTTTCCAATCCGGTTGGGGAATAAAACTCGAGGGTTTTATTGCTTTTTAGTGGTGACTGATGAGGCCGAGTGGGGTAAGCGGTCTAGGGTTTTAATTAGTTCAAGGGTAATTTGGGAATTCACGATTTCAAGTGAGTTTAATCCAAACTCGGTTAACGTCCGTAACTTTCTCGTCTTATGTCAAAACTCAAAATCATTTCAATTGAGAATTCACATTTGTAGTCCTCATCGATATTGTGGTGAAATTTGATAAAAAAAATTATCAAGGGCATAATGGTCATTTTTGCTTAGTAACATGATGGGGTGTAACAGAAAGAAGGAAAATAAAAGAAAGAAGAGGAAAATAGTGGTGTAGGTCATCTACGTATGCATGGCATGAATATTAGTGAGAAAGAAAAGAGGGGGAAAAATTGAGAAATCGGGAGTACGAGTAGTGTTTGTTGGACATATATGTTCCGCGTGATGTGGGTTGTGGTTTATGGGTTTATAATTATATTAGTTATTTGTTAAAGTGGGTTAATTGTAAGTGGTTAAATTATGAAGTCCAAGACTACTCAATATTTGATATGGGTCCAATGAGTGGAAACCAGATACTAAACCTAAGTAGGGTTTTATGGGAACCCTAGCTAAACATTGTATATAAAGATATTAGAGGTTGTGGTCCCTAAAACACCAAGACCGAAAATACACACATATTCTCCCCATCAGGAATACGTGAGGTTTCCCGTGAGTGGACTAAGGAAGTTTGGTTGAGGAAGGCCACTAAACTTCCCATATTGTGCTCTTCGACGTATCGTCCGGTTAAAGAGCGTTCTACAGATTCTGTATCAAGCTCCCGACGATCTACCATCATGAATCCAGGTATTTAGATATATTCGCCTTTGATAATCTAACAAGATATTTCCAGGGAATTACATATTTCGATTAATTCCAACAAGTGGTATATCTTTGTTAGATTATTGGGGCTTCCATATACATGGATATGTTACGTGCGTGATTGTGTTTATTGATTCATTATATTCCGCATACATATTATGTTTAGCGCTGCATGCTACCGTTTAATTCGATTCATGTCTGTGAGACTGTGACCTATAGAATCTGGTGAAATCGGCTCGACTACTGTCTGCTTTGTTGATGGGATTTAATCGGACCCGCTGCGCAAAGAGATAGCGCGTCTATTTCATGGTTAAATTGGTGGTCTTCGGTTTCTCTGTTTTTTTTTCTTTCCTTTGGATTTGGCTATTTTTGGATTAATATGATGAAAGGCAGCATCATATTGGGGTTCTTTTGTTGGGTGGAAAGCTTTTGTCTTTTCCTTCACAGAAACACCTAAAGCTAAAAGAATTTCATTCGGTATTTTTGTTATGGGTGGAAAGTTTTTTGTTCCTTTCACATATGCCAAATCAAGCATTAGGATTCTGTATATGCAAATGATTTGAGGTCCTTCAGTTCCAGACACTCTTCATTGGGATTTAATTGCTTAATTTGGGTTAGGTCAACTGTTTGATTGGTTTACTGTGTCCGTGCTTTTGGTATGAGAATTGACATATAGGGTCAATTGCAAAGTTAGTTCACTGAAATAACTAAAAACGTTCATGTTGGTCATTACAAATATTTAATTTCATTCGTAGTCACTAGAATTAAGGGAACAATTCAAATTTGGTCACTCTCTGTTACCTTCCGTCAACCTTCGTTAACGCTGTTAGTCTTTTGATGACGTGGCTAATAGAAGTGCCTAATCATCTAACTTTAACAAACAAACAAAAAAACCTAACCTGCCACATCATTCAAACCAACCAAATAAGATACCCAACCCTTGACTTCACCTGTCATCTTCTTCCTCTAGTTGACCCAACTAGAATAAAATCTTTACCTCCCAAATCATATTGCAAGCATACGCAGGTCTTTTCTCCAAAATCCACATCTTCCTCTCAATCTTATCCTTTCTCATCAACTACCTCAGCCTCTACCTCCATCTGCACTCCTCAATCATGAGACAAATCAACGAATACAAACTTCGCCCAGCTCGTCACGATCTGACAGAGGTTTTCAACGAAAAATTTGACTCCCCATGCTCTTCCTGCGGTGACTCAGGGAGTCCGGCTGAGTGATTGGGAGGCTGTGAGATCCGGAGACTCTGCGGAGAGATTGAGAGATCCGACGACTCTGGCGAGGACGCGTGGTCGTTGTCGCTTCGCAGAAGATGAGGACTTGCTGCCTGCGTCGGTGACGTTCGCATCCAGCTCATCTCCAATGGTGTCTATCATGTGTTGTAGGGTTTGGCGGAGTGGGTAGTTGAATCCCACGAATAGGAGATCCATTGTTTTTTCCCTCTGAGATTGCTGCTAAGATTGTTGCTTGGGTCTGATCTAGAATTCCTTGATTCTGAGAAATTAATAGACATGGGAGTGGTTTATATAGGGATGGGAACATGATATTTGGGAAATCTTTGGGAATTTCTAGATTGAAAATTCGAAGGGCCCTCCTTGCAAACCTTTGTAAACCTTCAAACAGAGGGAGTTCGATTGGATTTGGTGAGCATGAAGATGCTAGAAGAGAGGGAGAAGCAGAAGGCAAGGGCGGAGGAGAAGGATGAAAGAGGTAGAAGGGTTTCTGTGAATTTGAGAATAAGGAAGTTTTCAATCTGGTCAAACAGAGGAAGAAGATGAAGGGTTAGGTTGGGTTGGTTAGGTTTGGGTATCTTATTTGGCCGGTTCAATGATGTGGCGGGTCGGGTTTTGAGTTTTTTCAGGTTTAAAATTGGGTGACTTGACACTTCTGTTAACGGCGTCAATTCTTTTTTAGTAATCTCAGTGACCAATCTTGTAATTTACCCAATATATAGTTCCTTCTACGGTACCCCGGGTGAAATCTGGGGTACCGCATACCTTGAGTATGAAAACGCTATTTAGACCTCGAATTAGCAGGATTTTTGGGCATCATACTATACCCTAACCCTTAATGAGTGAACCCTAGGTCCTAATTATCTAAATCATAAACTATAAACCCTAAGATGTTGCATTGATTTTTTGCCTACATTTGGACGAATCATAATCGTCGATTATTTTATCCAATTAAATTGATCTTGGGGTATAAGATTTAGAGAATTAAGATCCAGATTTTGATCTTTAAGGGTTAGAGTATAGTATCATGTCCGAAAGATTAGGCAATTCAAGTTTTGAATAACGTTTTCTTACTCAAGGTATGCGGTATCCCGGATTTCATCCTGGGTACCATAGAACTCCCCATATATATATATTTCTCTCTTCACTTTCTGTACGTGATGACATGGGGGCATATATATCAATTCATAACGCACGTGAATTATATAATCAATCAATTGGTCCAGCATTTTAAATTGATTTGATTGATTACGTTATGTTGCCAAAGTAATCTCTAGCGTAAAATTTGATCAAATTAAATTACTTGGATGTATAGTGTGTGTGGTTATTTATGCGCATAGTGTTCGCCCCAAAGGTAGACACTATTTGGCCAAATGATGATGCACCTTAATGATAAATATGTGATGATTGTAAAGTCTATTTTCATGTGAATGATAGTTGGTCCAAAGATAAACTATTATTTGACAGAACTCATTATCAGTATTTGATTCTTTTAATGTTGCATTTGGTATTTTAAGATGGGTTTCTGAAATAAAACTTAAATGTTTGAATTTTCTTCTCATGTATTTTGTTTGACATGAGTGCATGTTTTCTTGTTTCTTTACAGTATCTTTAGCTTCTATTTCCAATGTTTCTGCTCAAATTAGCAATATTCCACTATTGAATGGGACAAACTTTAAGATCTGGAAAGAAACCGTAGAAATTGTTCTCGGTTGTATGGATTTGGATCTTGCACTGCGGTTGGAGCGTCCTGTTTCTACTCCGGATAACCTAATCAGGTTAAAATAGAAAAGTGGGATCGCTCTAATCGTATGTGTATGATGATCATGAAACTCTCTATTCCAGAAGCGTTTTGGGGGCTCTATGACTCAGAATGAGAGCGTTAAGGGGTTCCTTGAGGAAATTGAGCAATACTTTGCCAAAAATGAAAAATCGGAGGCAAGTAATGGCCCGTTTACTTGCCATTTTGTTTTCTATAGATGCCACAACAGAAAACATCTAAAAATGAAATCGAAGCTGTTGTTTTCTGAGAAACAAAATCTGCAGAAAACTTGTTTAGCTAAGAATTTTGGTTACTTGTGAAACATAATTCTGAAGATAAAAACTTGTTTAGTTACTTCATTCTATTTTCTGATGCTTGATTAATTTTTACATTAAATATCATACAACTTTAATCGTGATTATAATGTTTACTAGTACATTTACCATTTAAAATACCACTAAAAAGCCTAATCAACGTGGTGTAGATAAAAAAATGGTAATCACAAACCCAATCCTCTACTCCTTTTTAGGCAATCTACCCTTGCACAAGGGTGACCCCATCACCGCCAACTTCCCTTTCTTCTTCCCAGATCCGGCCAAACTACCCAATGTATTCTTGCCAATTGATAATATCGAACTCACCGCCATAAATTAGACTAGCTCCCGAAGCCGCAGGATTTTGGGGGAGATTTCCCTTAGATTGCCGACTAACGCTCGTGCCGCGGCTTTGGGTGGAGGCGGCGGGGAAGCTGTGGCTCCCAGCGGTAGAGGCGGTAGTGGGGAGGTGGGTAGCGGCGGCGGTTTGACAGAGGAAGGAAGACGAAGACTGATCGGAATTTTTCTTCATCGTCGCCTTCTCCTTCTCATCTCCTAGTCGTCGTCCAGGGCTCCAGTGCCCTCCCTTGTTCCGTCGACATCCCTCTCCGCCGAGATGTTCGAAACCCTCAAAGACCAAAGTCAGCAACAACGGTGGCGAGACGGACGCCCAAAATCCTTGTAGACCAAACGCCAGCGTCAGCGGCGAGGAGGAGTGCTTTTGGATATCAGTGAAAAAAGGAAAAAGAAGAAAAGACTACCGTGTGACTCGAAAAGACGACCTCATGAGTCTACAATGTCGTTTTTCCGCTAGGAATGGGGGAAGAATCTGTCCCTCAATTTCCTAGAAACAACAATTTATTGTTTCCCCACAGGTAGTCAGTTATTGATAAACGGTTTTCTCCAAGGAAAACAAAACACCAAGTGAACATGTTTCTTTGTATTTGTTTCTTAATTTTTGTTGCCCCAACAAAAAAAGGAAACGAAATGGCAAGTGAACGGGGCATAACCTTCTGTCTAAGCTCGTTTCCATGAAGTACAAAGGCAAGGGGAACATAAGGGAGTACATTATGGAGATGTCTAATCTCGCATCAAAACTCAAGTCACTAAAGTTAGAGATGTCTGAAGATTTGCTCGTGCACTTGGTTTTGATCTCTCTCCCTACACACTTTGGGAAATTCAAAGTGAGCTATAACACTCAGAAAGACAAGTGGTCTCTCAATGAGCTTATATCTCACTATGTGCAAGAGGAAGAGAGGCAAGCGCGGGATAGGACTGAGAGTGCTCACTTAGCATCAAGTTCTCAAAATAGAATTAAGAAGAGAGCTAGGGACGTTGCAGAAAAGTCTTCCCATCAAAAGAAACCAAAGATGCATACTGAGGGGTTTCCTTGCTACTTCTGTAAGAAGATTGGGCACATGAAGAAGGAGTGTCCCAAGTATGTCGTTTGGCGTGAAAAGAAGGGTGATAAGCCGTTAATTGCACATGTTTTTACCCCTATTCTGGAGCCGTTTGGGATGGTAATTCTTGTGTTTTAGGCTGATTTCACGCTGGGTTGTGTTTGTTTGTGATATTTCAGGTCCTAGCAAGTGAATGAAGGTTTAGGAGCGAGTTCGGGGTCGATTGGACGAAGATCGGGCGCGAGGCAAGTCGAAAAGGAAGCCACACGGGCACACCCACAACTCACACGGCCGTGCAAGTGACCACTTTGGCCGTGTGAGATTGTGCGAGCCTTCACACGGCTTGCCCTGATATCCACACGGCCGTGTGAAGGAGTGGTTTGGCCGTGTGGAATTATGCGAGGCTTCACACGGCCAGGCAGGGTGATCCACACGGCCGTGTGACCCTGGCCGTGTAGGAAGCCTGAAGTGCAACTAATCGGGACGCAGCGTTTTGAAGTCACACGGGCAACTGGGTATGCCACATGGCCGTGTGGCCCTGCCCGTGTGAGTCGAGAATTCCTGGTTTTAACCCAATTTCGGGCTGCAAGAGAGAGGATCGGACTTTTTGAGCAAAAACAGAGCCCTAGAGAGAGAAAGGACGAAGAACACATCCTAGAAGCTATCTTGGAGCTGGGTTTCATCAAATCGAGCTTGGAGATCGTCATAGGAGTGGAAATCATCATCCCAAAGCAGTTTCTTCCCATTGTAATGAGTATGACTACTTTGTACCTTGTTTTCCTCTCTCTCTCTCTATGGAGTAGAACCTCTCTCTCACTTGGGGATGAAGAACCCTAGTTCTATGTGTTAGGGATTGGTTGTAATGACTTGGGATGATATTACTGTTTGATTTTAATCGAATGATGCATGTTTATTGAGTCAATTGAAGTCTGATCAACTTTTCCTGATTCCTGCTGCAATCTGAGATAGATAGAATCTGATTAGGTTGCTAGAGTCTCATCATTCGGTAGTAGGAGATTGGCTATACGAGAGTTAGCCAGTTTACTGCTTTGTACTGGAATCCAATTCCAGTAGTGGAGTTCTGTTCTTACTGCTTCAGCTTTCTATCCCGGTTAAGACTAGTCGTCTGTCGGGTAGTTAGACTGAGAGGGCTTGGTCAGCTTAAGAGATTCCAAGCTACTGTCGGATCTTTCGCAGTCTAATCAACAGTAAATCAACCCAGGGTAATTACAATTGAAACCTAACTAAGGAGCTAGGGGGACTCATTCCCGAGTGACTCTTACCTGCTTGAGAAAACCGTACCAATTCCTGCTTTCTTTCTGCTTTTGCTTTTAAACAACAAACACATAACTTAGTTGGCTAGATAATAGATAATCACTGAGTAAGCAGTAGTTCTAGACCCCGGGTTGATAATGGAACTTGCCACTTTACTGCATTCCCGGTCTGCGATTACACTTGGTCGCAGATTGGTGTTGTGTTTTAGAGCATCATGTTTTTGGCGCCGTTGCCGGGGATCCCTCTAGGTTATTGGGGAAATGTGAAAATCTGTTACTCTAGCTTTTTATTTACTGCATTTTATCTCTTCCACCTGTGTGCCTTCACGGGTTGCTTCTGCTAATTGTGTGCAGGTAGTGCATGACCCGTAGCCAATCGGGAGATCTACTACCATTAGACTAGGAGCTTGAACGGACCTGCAGGAACTTCAAGCGGGCTCTACAGGCGCGACTGGCTGCGGAAGAGGCGCTAGCACAGCTACAGATCACTGAAGAAGAGGAGATGGCTGATCCACA